TTTTACGTCAGGGCTCGGGGAGAAGCCCCCACCCCCGGGGCCCCGGCCGCTGCTCCCGGGCACCCGGCGCTCCCCCCCTTCCCTTTGCGGAGCTGCCCCTGCTGCAAGACGTGCTCCGCTCCTCTTCTCCTCCTGTCCTCCTCTCCCTACGGACCCCGGCCCTCCTGGGGGCCAGCCTGGCAGCGGTGTGCCCTCTGGCCGAGGGGAAGCTGGGCCCAGGGGCGGTGGAAGAGTAACAGACCCGGGCATCTGGCAAAGCTGCTCCCCTCCCCTTGTCCCCTCTCCTAGCAGTGCTGCATCGGGAGGGCCAAGGATAAAAGGCAAGTTCTCACCTTGGAGCTCAAGTTGTCCGGACCTGGCTCAGCCTCCAGGCTTCTTGCTTGCTGTGCTTGGCTGCTGGAGGTCCCTCCACCCCAGAGCAGGAGTCTGTGTGGCACAACTAGAGCTATTTGCTGGCTAGGGCTCAGCATACAGCAGCAGGTCCAGCTCTCCTGGGAATTGAAGCAGAGACCCAGAGAAGAGCAGAGTCCCAGAAGAAAGCCAGTAAGGGCATTAACTGCAGCAACGGGGCTGAGCTACTCACTGCAGCTCAATTCACACAACTTCAGGTAAAGGAGAGCTGCCCTGGAGGGTTATGAACCCTACAAAAGGAGAGGACCCTGGCTATGTTTTATCTCAGAAAAAAAAAAAAAAAAGTGGTCTATTATTGTTGCATTTCCTCCCTGTGAGGTTCTCAGCTACAACCCCTCTCCACTGCACCCCCTTGGAACAGCTGCAAAACCTCTGTACACGTTAGGGAAATAGGCCAAGCTAGCAGGGAAGTGGAAGGAAGCCGTCGGTGAAAGGGCCATCTCCTGGTACATGTAGCGTGGAGAGGAAAGCCTGAGCTCAACTCTGCAGGTGACAACTCTGCCTGTGTTCACAGTGCCTGCTGTAGCCACCCCTTCGCATGCATAAAACATACAACCCAAGGAGCTGGGGCTCCGCGAACGGGCTACTAACCAGTGTCGGGCATAACTTTTTTAACACTATTTGAAGCGGTAAGGAGGGTGAGACCATTCTTTTTTCATAACTGTGTAGTCTATAGGCCAAATCATGTAGCACTCTGCTGACTGTGTGAAGTCGGTGCAGCTGCACCAGTCCATACCAACTGAGCAATAGCCCATTTTTTTCAAGACTTTCACTGGCAGCTCCCTTCTGTCTTTGCACTTTGAACCATAATACTTTCTCCATGAAGCAACTGTGCGTCAGTATCACCAGGCTTATCTTTGTTGAAGTCAGTGGGGCCACACTGGTCTATACCAGCTGGAAAGTTGGCTTGAAACACTGATTTTTCTGTTAGTCATCTATATCCTTATAATTGACATCTTTCTGTGCATCCAGTCCATGTAAATGGAGAAGCATGTTCCTTTCCTAACCCATGATCTTACAATACATCTATGACGCTAAACACTTTTTTTTATATGCATCTATGACAATAAACACTGTTGTTTTTTTCTCCTGATACTTTATTTCCTCTTCTCAATGAGCAATCCATGAAAAAGTGTATTTTGTGTAAGTAATGTTACTTTTTAACAAAAGTGGAAGGAACTTTTTGGGGGTGAGAGAACATCTGGCTAGAACCAATGTAGATAACGATATTGTAGGACTTCGGTAAATTTGCAAATGTTCCATTTATTTCTGAAAAAGTGTGGGGTTGGGAATAGGGCAATAGTGAGCACCAACTGCTGAAACAGACTTCAGGAGGAACTGAAGAATGCAATGCCTTGCAAGGAGCCCTTGCAACATGGCAGGGGGAAGCCTCTTGTTGCATGTAGGATCTCCAACATTTCTTCTCTGTGCTGTCAAATACAGGCTATTCCAGTAGACTTCCTTCTCCCTGGTTCTAGGGCTAAAATGATCCTTAAGCATTTTTTTTTAGTCTGCTCTGTAGGAGCTGATTCTGGGCCCGTGTGCTATCTGGAGCCCCCTTGGCACGTGGGTAACCAGTGTGCTTCTCCTAGCCTCTGTTGTTTGGGGGTTGAACTGGGTGAGGGAGAGAAGGAAAGTGCGCCTCTAAGGCATGGGTGTTGTGGTGTAACCTAAAGGCAGCTCCTGGGTAGAAGAGGCTCTGAGGCTGCTTGTGTTTGTGGCTGGCCTGGGTGTAGGAGGCCAGACCAGAGCAGGACTAAGATGCCATAGGAATGATTTTTGCTGACATTGCTGGGTCTGTGGTGCATCTCCCTAAGGACTCTGCCCCATGCTGTTAAGGGTGGAGCAAAAGGCTGCAACTGGAAAGGAAAAGGAAAAATGTTTCTTGTGAGTTGAGACATTTCTGCCAATCTGGAACTTTTCTGGATTCATTGTTAAGAAAGAAGTTAGTTTATTTAATTGAGTCCCCTTCTGGGGAGCACTTCATCTTGTTTTGGATCAAGAATGACATTGGTTTCATTCCACTCAGAATCCTTCTGGTAGACCAAAGGGTGCTGAACCAGGGGTTCTCAGAGAAATGAGAGTTGCTGCTCAAGGGAAATACTGCTACAGATAAAATACTCGGCTCCACAAGTACTTCCTGGGCCTACTACGGTCTGTTCCCTCTGAACCAGAGCACTCATAATCTATTTCTGGGAAAGAGTTTTTTGATAATTGGATTCATCACCTCAGTCTCCTAGTGGAGAAGAAACATAGAAGGATTGGCCATCTCACTCAGTTCCATGTACTCTCTCTCAGTAAAGCTTTCTGTGCCCTTTTTAGGCTATCAATAATCTCTCTTTCATTGCACTGCATGATGTATTCCCCTGACAGCCCATGTTCACATCTTCAGTGGGTCTCCATATCTTATGACTGAATTTAATTCAGATGGGCTGTAGGTCATATCCAGTGTCATTTGCAAAAGGATATTTTTATCAAGAAAAGTTGATTCTTTAACTCATAGATAAGAGAGAAATTTCAGATCATGTAACGCTACAGAAATGACATTATTTCTACCAGAAAAATATCAAAATAAAATATAAGCAAATGATAAAATGATCAAGCTACAGGAGTAGGGAGTGGGAAGAGAGAAAAGTAGGAGGCCATCTCACTGGTATTTGTATTTTGAATAGAGTAAAGGCATAAACAATTATGTGCAGAGTTGCTTCCTTCCTGCATTTGCTCCCTGCAAACCCTCCGATGTGGTTTAACATTAGCAGTTAATAGGCAATGGCTTACGGTTGCTTGAGCTAAGTAAGCATTTACAAATTAAAAAAAAATTAAATTCAGCACTGAGACTGAGACAGCAGTGTGTGATGGTACATACAGCTTGCCTGTTACTTCCATAAGCAGCCACACCTGGACCCAGAGACCTGTTTAAGCCTTAATCCAAAAAAATGCTTTAAAGACATATTCTTAGCTGAAAGTTTGTGTTTTGCTGAACTGGGTTCCAAATTATCCCAGCTTTGTGTGAAACCTGGCTAAGTGACAGCAAAGGCAAAAGTTGTGATTCTCAGAGGGGGGAAAACCCAAAGATCTGTTAGTTTTTAAATTCATAGTACATGGCAGAGACTTGACTTTTCTTCAAAATCCACAAAAGGCAAAGTGGGGAATCTAACTCCCATTTATGCCTTCTCAAATTCTCTTTTAAGCAGGAGATTAAACTGTGCTTAAAATTGGCTCCCTGACAAATATACCTAAGAGCTTCTTGGAAATGAAATACTCATGCTTGATCCAAAGTCTGTTTGTGGATATTTTTTATTAATTTTTAAAATGATATTTAGAGGGCTTTGAGTCAGGACTCTGAGTGGACTCAGAGTTACACTACTGCCTAGTAAAGAACAACGAAAGCCTCTGAATGCAGAACTTGTTTGAAAAGTCGAGTATCATCTGTTTCAGAAAAAATAATTTTAGTTAGGAAATCATATAGGATAGTGAGCAGTCTGTATCCTATTAGCAGGAGACTGTTTTATAAGTGGAAAGGGGCAAAACTGAACAAATTCTTCACCATTGATCACACCCATACCCCCCATCCAGGATGGCTTGTGTAACTCTTGATAAGTAGTCTGTATCAAAGTTCTGGTATCAACACATGTTTTTCTACACTTTTGATGTCAATTTTTTTTTCTGGCGGATTGAATCTGCAGTCACAAAGTGTTTGATGACCCCACACTGCTCTAAGCAATCCTCTGGATCTATTCTCTGTTGAAACGGCCAGCAGGAAAGTCAGTGGATGTCATGTGACACTTAACTAGTTCTAACTGGTGGAGAGATGTAGTTACTTAAACATAGAAGTCTTCACTGCTGTACACTATTGGTGATGACCTGAAACATCTCCATGGAGCTAGCAGACAGGACATGGGCAGGCAGGAGACCAGTGTATTTCTGGGCCAGGAGCTGGAGCGCTGTGGGACACCCTAGGATGTCTCTGGCCTGCGCCTGAGCAGTGGACTCAAGCCCCTGATGACTTACACAAGCTTTGTGGCGCTCTGCTTCTGCTGTTTTCCTCCGCCAGGACATACTTCTGCGCTCTGTTGGATTTCATGGAGTTCGAGAAGTGTTGGTAAAAACAGTCCTCTGGAGGTCTGTAGTTCAAACTTGTGCTTGAAGCAACACTAGATGAAGTCAGCTGTGGTTGGACTCCTGGTGGAAATTTTTTTCCTACTATCTAGCTTGAGTTTCCTAATTTGTGGCTATTGCTCCCTGTATGTCTCTACCAAGAAGAATTTGGCTCCGTTATCTTTGCAATTACTTGAAGGGAAGTTATAGATGTTTTTTAGATCATCCCTTAGCTGCCTCTTTACCAGGCCCAACAAGCCAAGTTACCTCAACCTGTCTTTATGAGGTAGCAGGAGCCCGCCTTGGTTGCCGTCTGTTGTTTGGCCCTGTGAGAACATGTAACACCACCATTGTCAAAGGGCTTCAGTATCTCACCTAACAGAGCTTGTTAGTGCCTTTGACTTCTCACCTTCTTTGGCTAAACCTTAGCCAGTTATAAGTTGCACCTAACAGAGCTTGTTAGTGCCTTTGACTTACCTTCTTTGGCTAAACCTTGGCCAGTTATAAGTTGCGATATTCTGGTATTTCTTTCCTGACGCATGCTCTATCTAGCTATTCTCCTTGCCTATAACTTTAAAAGGCAATGTTTTCATTGCTGTTAAGTCCTACCTTTAAACCTGCTTAGAATGTAAAGTCTAATTTCTTGATTAATTTCTAGACGATTTGAACGCATAGATTTTTGTGATACTTAAGTTTAGAACACAGCTTGAGTTACGAGCAAGCGTTTGTGGTATTTGTCTGGAATACCACTGGGTTTTGCCAGTTGCTACTAACTGGTAATTGCTTGTGTACTCCGAGAAATGTGTGTACATATCTTCACTGTGAGCTGGTGCTGCAGTTAGTATTTCATATAAGAAAACCAGGCCAAAACCCATCTAATCTTTTACAGGAT